ACTTTATTCCACATTTTCGTCTCTACTGCGTCACTTGTGGATGCGCGTTCACGACAGTATCATGACGCGAGCATGTGGTGGCGCTGACCCAGATCTGATAATGACGTCATTACGCCGGATCTGGGTCAGTGCCGGCGCCACCACACGCTCACTACTTTGCCGATCATCTTGGTACTTTTCTGGACCTTGAACGTGGTAGTTACCTTGCTGTCTATGGGAGGGTCAGAGAGCCCTCAGATTTCATCAAAAATATCTTAAATTGTGTTCCGAAGATGAACGAAGGTCTTACGGGTTTGGAACAACACGAGGGTGAGTAATTAATGACTGAATTTTCATTTTGGGTGAACTAACCCTTTAATGTGAGAAAAACAAGTAAAATATTGCAACTTTGCAATACACAACAACAAAATCAGTTTAATTCCACGCTGGAAAAGCCAGTAGTTTTACATGGCTGCTAACTGGTCCAATCTGATCATTTATGATCATTAGATGATTTATCAGTGCTGGCAGACCAACTAGACAACAAACCAACTAGACTTTGATAAGCTGCAATGATCTAGTCTTTCCTGCTGGCTTGAGACAAAAGCAACAAGAATCTTACATGGATAAGAAAAGTCCTTCGAGTTTTCCTCCAATAGCATTCAATATTTTTTTACTGGTGTCCTTGCTGCATTTCTTTGACTTCTTCTTCTTCTTGGGTTCCTTCTGTCCATTGTCTATGAGAGGATTGTTTATACATATATCAAAATAACACTACACATAACAGGTACAGGTTCAGGTAACTCAGTACAATCTTACAGACACTATTTAGGTATAATATATATCTAGTTATATACTGTAAATAATCTTTTTTTTTTCCCAACAGACCTTTTTCGGACTGTTTTTTCTTGCGGAAGCGAAGGAAACGACTCTTCTTCTTTCCATCTGCCTTCACTGTATCAAGGGTTTCTGTGGTATCTGTTTGTATGTTGGGCTCTGGGTCAGTCTGTATTTCAGCATCGGTCGGTGTTTCTGTCGATGGTGTCATTGACAGCACCTCCGTGTCGGCCTCTGGCTGTGCTCGGCTGTCCTCTTCATCTGAGAGTTGAAAGACTTTCTCGTCTCTTTCATTCTTGTTCTTCTCCGCAGATGAAAGATTGCTCTTCTCTTCCAGAGGGCCCTCTTGGTCCCAGAGACCATAACGCTGAGAGAGGCAAAGTGAAAAAAAGTATATCACGAACAAACTAGATGCCAAGTCATAATATATGAAAATGGTGTTTGTAGATTGTAAGAAACGACACCATTATGGTTACATAATGAGATTGATTATGAATTCCATGTAGAATGCCCTGATATGTCAACATTGGATTTTATTTTAAAATTAGGCATGCAAAGGTAACTTCCATACCAATGCATTTCTTTCGAATTGAGAGTTTGAATAGAAACTTTTTATAATAGAATTAACTTTTGTTAATATAAAAATTTACTTTTTGAAAGATGGTAAGCATCTGAAACAGGCTTGTTTTTTGAGCTAAACACCTGGAGAAGTGACCGGTGAAAAAAGAGGACCAATAGCTGGAGCAAATCATAACGGATGTAGTTGTCCGTTTTCTCCAGGCCCAGGATGCGTGGAGGGAAGAACGGCTTGTCCTCATTTAACTTCAGCTCATACTCAGTATTCCACGGGAAGAAGCCAAACTGAAACAGGTATTTGACCACCACCATGACCTGTGGCAAACACAACATGCCAGAGACACACAATAAGTTATTACTGTTCCACCCGCAACTGGTTTGCATAGTTTTAAAGCTTTGTTTTGTATATAGAAAAGCTTTTTCTGCTGGAAAACAACAGACCATACCAGCTTAACCCTATAAAGCCTACTGTACCATATTTGATACCTCTAAATTAAATATCAACATGATAAAAACTTTGCTGAAAAATTCTTGTACACAATCTTCTACATGTCTTCTGTCATCTGATTGATAGTTTATACTTTCTTTAGCAAGTAAAAAGCCTTTTTAGTGTAATTCTAAAAACCTTTAACCCCTTTAGGTTGTGCTACACATCTTTTGGCAGTGAAATCATTTAGATTTTTATATAAGAATAACATTAATATTATTTTATATTGTAACACCTTAAATTTACTTGACTATTCATACATTCAAAAAAAAAAAAGCGAACTTTTTTTTTTAAAGATTTTGTCTAAGGTTTCAATAAACCATTCCTTTTCTGGCTACTATTTCATATGACAAGCTTTACAGGGTTAATGCAGTCAAGCTGTTTTTGAAACATAGCAGTTGGTTTTTATGGCCCAAGGTGGTCTACCAGAGTTAATCAACTTGACCAAAATAGTCCAACTAGGTTAACCTTGGTCCCACTAGCTGGTGGTCAGAATGGTCAACCAACAACACCAGCATCAACCAGCTAGTTATTAAACCTAACACTCCCTCCCCCAATAGAATAGAAATAAAGCTTTCAAATTTTACTTTTCAAAGGTAGTTAAAAAAGTGTTTTATATATACTGTATAAAATAAACTAAAAAGCATTATCATGAACATGATATAATAATATAATGAGCATTATATTAGCATTTAATTTTTTTTTTTATTATCTGAAACATATCTGAATCAAATAACAAAGTCAGTCGTAACAAAGGCAATGTCTATTCTTCCCCACCTCTGTATAGATGATGGCCGTCATCCAGAACCTCTTGGAAGGTCGTGGCACAGACAGCATTGCCCAGAGAAAGACGAGAATTGGCAGCACCAGTGAGATGACAGAGGCTGTCACCAGGTTATTGAGCACGATAATGAAATAACAGACCAGCTCAGAGTGGGCCGCCAGAACATTATAGAGTGCAAAGAGCAGCTTCAGCAGTCGGTTCTGAGACGAGTAGAATTCACCACTCTGTATCAACTCCTCAACACTGAATGGCCTAAAATAGAGCATACAGAGAAAATAACTGAACTGCACAAATTGCAAAACAAAACTATTTATTTTATTTGATCGTTTTAGCAAAGAGGTCTTATTCACATAATGTGAAATGTGAAAATATATAAAAATTGTAAATTGTTTATGCATCACACTGCTTTTCAATGCTGAATTTATTCTAAATTAATGATAAATAAATAACTGTCAATGCAAAAAGTTATGTCAATTAGATTAAAACGCACTTTAAAAAACATCAGAGCATACCAAAGTGCTGTACTCTTTAATAATGGCAGAATATCATACAGTCATGTCATATAAAGCAGCACCTTTCTGAAAGCAGTTCACTTGCAGTTCTGGAGCGTCGAGGGCGGAGGGTGTGTTGGCTGTAAAAAGGTTCTGTATCAAGCTCTAATGTGAGTTCAGAGGACAGAGTTGTGCTGCTGAAGTCACGGGACTTTGGAAAACCACCCAGTGTCTCCAACTCAACCACACTGCAAAACAAATGGGACATTTGGTCGTAACTGACAGAAACAAAATACATAAAAAAGACCCTCTGTTGGCCTCCTGCTGGATATCCCACACTGAAATATCATTGGTCCAAAATCCTTTCCCACACAGCTGTATATTAAACATCAAGTACTGTACTGTATATTCTTATTATCCGTGATTGTGGTGTGGCAAATAATTTTTACTTTCATTATGGACATGTGATGTCATGTCTGGTTAGAACACGGCATTAATCATAAACACTGCAAAAAAATATCTAATCAAACATACAAAAGGAAATGTTTTACATTTTTTTAATATCACACAACTTTTGAAAAAGACTGAGACCACCTTGAAATTCTGGGATTCATAACCTAATTAGAAATAACTTTTTTAAAATTATAAATAACTAGAAAGTTTTATGATTTTGCAAAATTTAAAATGTAAGTTATGACTTGCACTAACATCATTCTCATATACTGATTTGGTGCTTAATTATGGATTATTATTGGTGCTCAATTTTTAATAGTGGTTCTTTACTGTCTATGTTGAAAAATGTTTTTGCTGCTTAATATTTTTGTGGGAACTTTTTTTTCAGGATTCCTAATGAATGGAAAGTTCAATGAACATCATCTATTTGAAACAGAAATCTTTTGTAACATTAGACATTTCTTTACTAAACAATTAAATCTTAATTATACCAAACATTTTAATTGTAGTGTTACATGGTTTCCACAAAAAAATTATTAAGCAGCAAAAACGGTTTCAACATTGATAATAATAAGAAATGTTTCTTGAGCACCAAATAAGCATTTTAGAATGAGTTCTGAAGGATCATGTGACACTGAAGACTGGAGTAATAAAATCCAGCTGTTTAAAACACATTCAAATAGAAAACGTGTAATAATATTTCACAATTGGTGATATTGACCATGTAAAGTCCTTGAACAAAACAAAATTTGTTTGACATTCTTGACTATGTAGACATCAGTGTAGGAAACTGGCTGCTGGGCAGGTCAGACTCACTTGATGTTACTGTTGAAGCGAACATTGTCTGTGTCCGTTTCATCGAGACATGTCTCAACAGTGAGATTCTCACTGTCCTGTGATATCTGATCATCCATGGGCTCTCTGGAGGGTCTCTGTGAATGGATCAAAATTCATGAGAACAATGCCAACAACACATTGGATAAGGTTTGTTTGAGCGAGTTGCCCACCTGGCTGATGTTGTGAATGAAGAGGTAGCGCTCCTCAGAGAGGACCATAGAAGTGTCTACATACTGCTTGGTGAGCAAATTAAGCCACATAGTGAATCCGTCCACCATGGCCAAGAAAAGCACCCACAGGAACTTCAGTATGTCCAGAATCCTCTGCATTATATCACTGCCAGTGGCTTGAGATGCTGTAAAATCAGAATGATGCACTGGGATGTCAAGTGAAATTCAAGGCACCCTCAAGCTGTTTTCCCCTGTTTTGCAGATGCTTACAGTAAGGCTGTGATAAATCTTTATATTTAAAAGGGGATATACAGTAGACAACATTTGAAGTGGATCAAAAAAGTTCAAAGTTGTCCTAAGAAAAGAATGCTTTTTTGTTTTAGGACAACTTTAATGAAAGGTTTTGATCCACTTCAAATGTTGACTAGTGTAGTTATCTGAAGTGGATCAAAAAAGTTCAAAGTTGTCCTAAGAAAAGAATGCTTTTTTGTCTTTAATGAAAGGTTTTGATCCACTTCAAATGTTGACTAGTGTAGTTATTTTCAAATGGCTGTGCCATTAACCTACATGTATTATCATTTAGGTAGCTATACACTACATATGTTCATAATTTAACAAACTACAATTAACTTGCTTAGCAAAACTCTCCTCAAACTGTTGCTCTGCTATCTTATCTTATCTAAAAGAGAAAACTGACCATAGAAAGACAGTTTACGCTAATGGCTGCTACAGCGGCAACATTGAAACTGCATTATGACTTGAAAAAGTAATTACAAAATATATTTTATTTTTTTTATTTTACATTTATTCCTCGCCCATGACTTACCCACATCATCTCCTTCCTCTTGCATCTCCTCCACTTCTTTCCCATCAAAAACTGCTTCACCCTCCTCAGTGTCATCTGATAACCACAGAGAGAAATAGACTAAAACTCTAAATTCTACTGTAATACGATGAAATGTGCAGCCGATTGCTTTGTTTCTTTGTGTATGTGTTACTGTATGTTTAATATGCATATATTTCAATGTTTAACCTGTAGCCTGAGAGGTTTGTTGCTTCTTTGCTTCCGCTCTCTGCTCTCTCTGCTTCAGCTGACGGTCTGTCAGAGCTTCTTTTGCACTGGTGACCCAAGCCTGGTATGCCAGCTGTGGAAAACAGTTTAGACACAAACTTTACACATTTATCCCTATAAACACTAGGCGCGTTTCCATTACAGATTTGCGCAAAACTTTGGCGATATTTTATAAATGTCGATAAAAAAGTATTGCGAAATGACGGCGTTTCCATTAACCAATGTTATGCGACTAAAACGTAACCTTTTGCCTCTCGCGATAAGTCATGGCAAGGGATTTTGGCTATATTTATTCAAAGGAGGCTTTTGCATGTATCTTTACAGAAGCAGCAAAGAGAGCCGCTTCAGAAACGTGCGTGGCACGGCTTGAATAAACCATAGACTGTATAAAAACATAAAAACAAGCACTGAGTGGCCACAGTCAGCTTCAGTGGCCGTATCAGAGCCACACTGCACTGCAGACGTGTGCAGTGTAAATTGTCTAAGCGTTAATGGTAGGGAAAGTATGGGAAGCCAAACAACTCAAATGTGGGACGAAACGGCGCGGTATTCAAGTGTTCGCGCCGCGCTGACCTGTCATAGGCGCATCCCACATTTGAGTTGTTTGGCTTCCCATAGAAAGCCCCTTATACTGGAGCGCGGCCACTTATGAAGTGTTTCTTGGAGGTTATAGTACATTGAAGAATGATCATATGACTTTTTACATACGCCATGTGACCTGTAAATGCGAAAAAGCCGTTTCCATTGCAGTTTTGCGAATTATTCCTTTTTCGCATTGCCTGAAAAACCACCTCATGCGAGCGTAAAAACTTTTTTGCGATATATGGGCGTTTTTGCTAAATTGATGCGTTTCCATTAGGCGTATTTTCAATTCGCAATTTCAATTTCCGCAATTTGAAGGGTAATGGAAACGCGCCTAGTGTCTTACCAAGCATAGAACAAAGTCAATACAAAGCATGTCACCTGAAAGGCAGTCTGTTGACGAGGTTTCTGTTCCTCCTGAAAGGATTCATCTTCCTCTCCGCTGTCAGACTCAAACATGTAGTATTCCCCAGAATGCAACACTAAATCAACAACATTAAATCATACTTAAACTCATTGTTGCAGTCTGAATTTTTGCTCTCTTTCAAGAAAATATGTTCAAAACCCTCTGATGCACAGTGTATAGTGGACCAGGGTCATTATAATAATGAACTAAAACTATAGTGACTTCAAATTAAAAAAACATTTCTCATTTTCTTTAGATTGACTTGATGTATAAAAAAATGAAATATAATTGAAAAACATTTATAGATATACAGTATTTATAACTAATGGAAAGGACAATAAAAACCTCACAACTAAATTAATAAAACTTTAAAATCAAAATACTAAAAAAACTACAATAGTTACTAAAAAAATACTAAAATAACACAGCAGTATACAGAACTTTATTAAATCTAAACTTAAGACTGCCATCTTCATATGATATGAAATGATTTGCAGACTCTGACAGGGCTAAGCTTGATATTCAGTAAGTATAGCAGCTGACTGCGAGTATACCAGTTGCATGGTCCATCCAAGGATACTGCCACTGTTTGGACTTTGATAATTGTCTCTCCTTCTTCTGTTCCGTGGAGTCTGTGAGGTGAAATACACATGTAACTAATATTATGACTGATGCACTCTCACTAGTATGCACTTTCTGATTTTCCATGGAATTTGAACAGTAGTTTACAACATACTAAACATCCCCTTCCTTGTGCATGTTTGTTTATTAAAAAGAAAGTCATTATTTTCTCACAATCGCCTAAACATTCCCTTCCTTTTCCCTATTTGTTTATTAAAAGAATACACCAAATAATAAAAAAGTTCAGAATTTTCTCACTCTCATTCCATTCATTTAAAATGTACTATTCACTTATATTTTCCCAGCTGCCATAGCCCACAAACTTAATTCACGTATGCATGTGATATCAAATGACATTTGTTGAAAGCTAATATTGCGTGTAAATAAGATTTGAAAGCGATAGCAGAAGAAAAGGATGTCATATAGATTTGTATCAAAATGTGGGAGTAAATAGTGACAATGTTGATATGTGGGTCAACCAACATTTGAAATATTCTTGCTAATTTGATCATGCTTTCAGATACCTACAGGAGTATAATACTCTGTTTAATGCACTTTACCATATTAAAATCCATTTTATAGAATTTCACAGATTTTGCCACACAAATTGGAACCGCAACAATTAAGCGCAGTTATTTCAAACCACAGCTGATCAAAGTTATATTTGTTTAAATGGTAATGCATTTGTACCTGATGGCAGCTCCTCTATATCTGAAGTTTTGCGTCCTTCTTTATACTTCTGCTGTTTGTCACGTATGCGTTTCATCCTGAGGAAAAATAAAGATATAGAGTGACTAGAGCTCAGGAAGGACATTGATTGAATGATTGATTGGTTATGGTAAAAATGACAGTGTGAACTCACGATTCCTTTAGCTGCTGAATTGACTTCTTCTCTGCCTGCTGATAGAAATGCATGTTCTTTATAATGCTGGCTCGGAACAGCTCGAAACCCCTTAATGCAAACACACACATGAAAAATCAGGTCAGAAAATAAACTTCATATGTTAGAAATACCCTAACTTATACACTAAATCACTGTTTTTGTTGTATTCCACTCAACTTTGAAAGTTTAAATTTTGAACTTCATATTTTGAAAAGCGCAACACAATTAGACTTCAGGATGAAAACCTTAGAATTCACCCTGTCCTAGATGCATTTATGATGTAAAAAAAAAAAAAAGAAAACATGGCAGCCTCCTGGGAGATGTATGCAGTTAGAGATAAACATTCAAGCTAAAAAATAATTGCATACTAATAATAAATTAATTAATTATTTGCACAGATGGTAAAATGAACATTTCTGTTAAAAATGCTAGCATATCCATTATGTTTCTTTATACATCATCATATTTAGAGAATTGGACAAGAAAAGTCTAGAGTCGTAAGTCAGATTTATCAATTTCTCACACCTGACTGAATGGAAAGCATGAAATATCTGCCCCAACTGCCCCTTCTGTTGTGCCCAGCAGGGGGCGCACTTACCGAGAGGCCTGTCGCGCTGATGCTTGAAGATCTGCAGATACGTGCAAAAAGTAAAAACTGAGGAAGACTCTCCTCTGTAAGAGGAGGAAGAAGAAACAGATACTGTCCCAGATAATGCCAGCCTCTTCCACAGGCAGAGAGCATTCTTTATCCCACACTGAATTAGCTGAGAAAGAAACACATACACATAAATAAGATTACATCTGACTGTGCTGTGGTCTGTGATGTGGCATATTTTAAGATATTTAAAATGTTGTGCACATACCCTAGAAAAATATTTTAAATGGTGGGGGGGAAAAATGGATCTCGTCTCATTCATGTGTATTTTAAAGCTAAATTTCACAAGCATTGGCCTGCTGATTCTATTCATTTAAGAACCAAGTTCATATCATTACTATAAAACTTGTCATCGACTATATTTGAGTATATTTTTATAATTAAAATGAGCTGACATTTAATTTGCATACAATCGCTAATTGGAGCCTTAATCAGACTGCTTTAAAATAATTAAAATGTTTTCGAAAAGTAAAAATGGAGTAAAAATGAGATACAATGGTGTGCAAAGAACAAAGTTCATGAACTAGTGTTTTAGTGTTTTGATTAATAAAAAAAAAATACAGTTACACTTTATTTTAAGGTGTCCTTGTTACAGTGTAATTATATATTTAAGTACTGAGTAATATTAATTAACTACATGTACTTACTATATGGTTGGGGTTAAGATTAGGGTTTGGCTTAGGGTTGCTTGCATGTAATTATGCATAATTTATTGTTTTTATAATAGTACGTACATGTAAGATGCATAACAAGGACACCTTAAAATAAAGTGTTAGCAAAAAAACATTTTATAATGTGGTAAAAAAAAAAACTTACTAATATAAATCTTAATATCTTGCACTCTTTACTCTAGTAAATTTTACTTGTGTTAATAATATTACACAGCTTTTTGATTCTGATCGGTCAATTACCACACTAAGCAGGCAAATATTTTTATTGTAACATCCACTTTATACTTGATATTTCAGTTTTGGCCATGGGAACAAAACAGCACTTACATGTCTTTCTAAATTCTCTACTCTGTGCTCTCTTTTTATATAAACAATTTAGAATAGCTAATTGCCACAATGTTGTGAGTACTTATTTAGATATTTTTACTCTAGACAAAAACAGTCAATTTTGTAGTTTTTAAGGAAAATATTATGACAGCGTGCTTGACCGTTCACCGTGGGAAAACTTTGGGAACCACCACTCTAGGGCAACGCAGCAGCAGTGCAAAACTTACGGTCATAGTAGCCTTTGACTGTGCACACCAGACTGAAGAGCTGAATTACCCAGCAGAAGTTCTTCTGCATCTCCAACACAAACACACAGGCCAGGATCTAACACAAGAACAGGGCTGTTGTAAGAAAGTTGTTCTCTTTGTAGCTGTTTGCAAGTTATATGGCTTAGTGAGTCAGCATAGTAGGACTGTTCACTCACAGACAGGATGTTCTTGGAAATGATCACAGCCACATTGTACATGATCAGACAGTCCCACAGGACCAGACGTGTACGTGATGGCTTGATCAACAGACGTGTGCCGAACAGCAGGAAGAAGAAACAGGCCATAAGATACCCCAAACCAAACACACTGATCCGAGTGGCACCGGTCACAAACAACACCGACAGCACAAACCAGAACATGTACCGAAACACCAGGACCTTTGCCATGTCCAGATAGGACCTTCAATACATAGAGAGAGAGAGACACACAGATATTATTTTTCAATACAAGACATTAATGAAGCAAATAGTTCATAAAAATGATCAAATACACCAGTTTCGTTTCTGTAGAGTAATTGTTACATTTAATTATCTACAGAGCAGTTTCTTATCATATTGCTGTCATTATTGTTTATAAAAGCAATAAACAATGTTAAAGAAATATGAAAATGAAAATAGTCTAAATCAGTGTTTCCCAACCTTTCTTTAGTCGCGGCACCCTTTGGAAATTTTAACACATTTGCGGCACCCTACAAAATTAATTTTGTCACAATATTTGAATTTCTAACTTCGATATGATACTTTGAAAAGTATAGATATTCGGTACAGCAGGGAAGAACTGCAGAATATACTGTCATACAGATATTTTTAATATTATAAAAAAATGTTGTCCATCAATGGTGGCAATCAGTAGGCTAATTTCTAATGAATTTAGTCACCCACAGGCCATCCAAGTTGTAGAAGAATTGTATCTTCATTGAAAAAGATTTGGAGAAATTTAGCATTATGTCACTTGCTCACCAAAGGATCCTCTGCAGTGAATGGGTGCCGTCAGAATGAGAGTCCAAACAGCTGATAAAAACATCACAATTCGACTACAGTCCGTCAATTAACGTCTTTTGAAGTGAAAAGCTGTGTGCTTGTAATAAAACCATTAAGATGTTTTTAACGTCAAACCATTGCTTCTGGTTAAAATACAAGTCCTCTATCTATAACATTACTTTTCTCAGTGGAAAAAAAGTTGCCTTGTCTGAATCAGGAGAGAAATACACACAGATCAAGCACCGTTTACGAATGAAAATGGTGTAAAACAGTTCTAAACAAAAGCAGTGTGTCATTGGATTTTGTTGTGAGAGAAACAGGAGATGGAATTTGTCACTGAAGGAAGTGTTATTATGGATTTTAGCAAGAAGCAACAGTTTCAAGTTAAAACACCTTGATGGATTTCTTTCTTAAAAACACACAGTTTTTCACTTCACAAGATGTTAATTGATGGACTGGAGTGGTGTGGATTACTTGTGGATTATTGGGATGCTTTTATCAGCTTTTTGGACGTTCTTTCTGACGGCACCCATTCACTGCAGAGGATCCAATAGTGAGTAAGTGCTATACTGTATTGCTATATTTCTCCAATCTGTCCAGATGATGAAACAAACTCATCTACATCTAAGATGGCCTGAGGATGAGTAAATTTTCCAAATTTGATTTTTTTCATTTTTGGGTGAAGTATTCCTTTAAAGCTCCTTTTGCATTAGATCCGTACCAAGTAAAGCTGTTTTTATTTCTCATTCTTCACTAAAGTACACACAATGTGTTACCTGCAATTGATGAAGTTTGGGGCTGGGTTGAAGAGCATATCCTCCATGGGGTCAGGGTTGTCTTTGTTCTCACCTCCCATGACCATCCATTCTTCCTTTTTCTCATTTTCAAACACAGCCCACTGCTGGGAGGCACACATCAGCAGAAGGAAGTCCGCTGCAACAGAACATTTTGCAAACATTTTATGTATTTTGGAGGGGCCTCAAGTTTCACTATATCCACCTTATTTTTCAACACGAATAGCAGTGCAGTGACAAACAGTCAAACTATTTGCACTACAAACCAGTGCGTTTATGATTCTGACAATACACTGAAACAATATGATAAAAATTACCATTCTGCAACATTAAAGGGGTCATATGACGATGCTAAAAATAACATTATTTGGTGTATTTGGTGTAATGCAATGTGTTTATGCGGTGTAAGGTTCAAAAAACACATTATTTTCTACATACCGTACATTATTGTTGCGCCTCGCTGCCCCGCCTTTCTGAAACGAGTCGATTTTTACAAAGCTCATAGTTCGGAAATGCGCGGTGTGCTCTGATTGGCCAGCTATCCAGTGCGTTCTGATTGGCCGAATACCTCAAGCATGTGACGGAAATGTTACGCCCCTTTACCATATTTGGAAACACACAGCATCTCCATGACATGGCGGTGGTGGTAACAATACTACAGTGCCTTCTTTCTTTGCGTACACATTTGGGCGGTGTTATGCAAATCTTCCAACACAGTGCATAGATTTGTGGTGTTTGAATGAGGCGTTTTTGGAAGGCGTGGTTGAGTCTAAACTATTAGAAAGAATATCTCTTTGGGTTTGAGACTTTAATCTTTGCGACTTTACGGATCTAATCTATGCACGAACAGCTTGTAACACTCCAAAGAGAAAGGAAAACATGAAATCGTGTCATATGACCCCTTTAAGCAGCATCACATATTGTACAACTAAAATAGTTGGAAACGGCTGACACAGTCAAATATGTGCCCACTCTTATGTTAAAAATAATAATATACTTAAGCCCCACCTAAAATTAAATTTAAGTCACTGTATTAGATAAGACTAATAACCTTGATAGTTGACTGAAAAGTCATTGTTCTTAGAAGAAGTTTAGAATTTGTTTGCAGATGCCATTTGGTTTGATATTGTACAGTCTAATGTAACAACAGTCATACATTTTTTAATGTGGCTTAAGTGTCCATATATGTTTTGAAGCCACTATAGGTAGGATAACTGGTGAGTAATTACATTGCTGTTCAGTTGAAGGTGTCACTTACATATTAGGTTCCTAGAGTTGGGGATGGTGTAGAAGTCAGGTAAGTAGATCCATTTAACCAGAGCTGAATGGATAGTTACAGAGGTTCTCCATCTCCAAGGGTAATCTATAGCCATGCGAGACAGGTCAGGTTACTTACCAAGAAAACTTGCACTAATACTAAGCAGCATAGACACACAAGATATGCTCTTGTAATTAATCTGTGGTAATTGGCAGCCGAGCTGACTTATACTCGTTTTAGGTCAAATAAAGTCAAGTCAAATTTATTTGTATAGCGCTTTTCACAACACATTGTTTCAAAGCTTTACACACATACATCATGTTAATGTTTACAATATCTTAAAGGGATAGTTCACCCCAAAATGAAAATTGTTTGTAATTAAATGTCATTAATTACTCACCCTCATGTCGTTCCAATCCCACAAGACCTTCGTTCATCTTCGGAACACAAATTAAGATATTTTTTTATGGAATCTGAGAGCTCTCTGACCCTCCATAGACAGCAACGCAACTGAAATGTTCCCAGACAGAAATGTAGCAAGGACATCGGTAAAACCATGTGTCCATGTCCAGTCCATGTGACATCAGTGGTTCAACTTCAATTCTGCAAAGCTACGAGAATACTTTTTGTGCGCAAAGAAAACAAAAATGACGACTTTATTCAACAATTCTTCTCCCCCGAGTTACTGTCTTCCTCCATTTTAAAGAGTATCACAACGCATATGCACGCTTTACCCTAAGTGTAAACAATGCTGATTACGCAGATTACGTTCATGCGTGCGCTTTCCTCCCTAACGTAAACAACGCCTATTACGTTCTTGGGTTCTCTCCAAAATGGCAGAAGACATATCGCGGGGGAGAAGAATTGTTAAATAAATTATGTTATTTTTGTTTTCTTTGCGCACAAAAAGTATTCTCGTAGCTTCGCAAAATTAAAGTTGAGCCACTAATGTCACCATGGACTGTTTTACAAATGTCCTTGCTACGTTTCTGTCTGGGAACATTTCAGTTGCGTTGCTGTCTATGGAGGGTCAGAGAGCTCTCAGATTCCATCAAAAATATCTTAATTTGTGTTCCGAAAATGAACGAAGGTCTTACGGGTTTTGAACGACATGAGGGTGAGCAATTAATGACAGAATTTTCCTTTTGGGGTGAACTAACCCTTTAATGCCTTATTGTCACATTTAGCAGGGTGAAAATAGCCTTGTGGGCAGACATATAGCCGACATATAGCGTTGTTGCATTTTGGGCGTCCTGAGTTTGAGTCCTGGCTCGTTGACCTTTTACAATCCCGTCATAATCTCTCTCTCCCACTTTGCTTCCTGACTACATACATACTATTCTAACATACTAAAGGCAAAAACACCAAAAATAAATCTAAAAAAAAAGAGAATAAATTATCCTATGTCAGTATAACGTATGGTACATGCTGTGGGGGGAAAAAATTTAATTTGATATTTTGCTACCATATAACAATCAAGCAGTTGAGATTTGCTATATAGTACGTCACTTAACGTGAGTGTATGTATCCGAGTAAGGTTGAATAAACGTATAGTAGTTGTGTAATTCATAATTATTAATTATAAGAGGGGTTTTGGACACTCAATAAGCAGGACAGGTTGAGAGACCAGCAGCCCAACAGCACCAGCTTGGCTTTTAAAAATGTGTCTCAAGAGTCTTGTGTTCTGTTCCATTTCATTGCCAGATGCTGAACTTTTTTTTAAATCCAAGAACCCATCTTGTGTTGATGTCCAAAACAAAACAAGGCTGTGCAGCCTCTATATTCCTTTAATTTTAGACAAACATGATTGCTGTTAAAGTGATATGTTAAGTGACATCACATTTGTTTTGAATAGAGTGGTAGACTCACCTATACAGAGGGCAGGAGGGATGCCCACACACAGAACATACTGGTATACCATGAAGACCACCAGAAACAGGCAGTACTTTGACCAGATCTTGGCAATGGCTGCTCTGCGCCGCTGCACCATGATGGCCACCAACCAACAGCCGTGGATAATAACCAGGAAGTTCATACGCTGACCAATAACATTCACAGTCATGAGAAAGCAGATCTAGAGGTGAAAGTGATGCACAAGTTAACATTAGATTTAATATTTGTGCTTTGATAGCAACTAATATTGAGAAATGGTTTGAGATATCAATTCTGAAACATGCATCAGAGTGTGTGAGCGGAGTGGAGCGGCAACAATTTCCCCTCTGTGCTCCGAGCATTTAATAATCACTCCGCTCCAGCTCCACTCCGGGTTCACCATTTCCCGCTCCCGCTCCCGCTCCACTCCACTCCTCGCTCACTGATATCAGAAACACCGCTCCGCATCTAAAGTATTTCAGTATGTTTGAAATATCACAGTTCTGTTCATAAAGTACATTAAAAGAAAAAAATAAAATAAATAAAATAACAGGAGTGTTTCAAAGTGGCTTATTGGAACACTAGTGTGTAAACTTTTTCCTACCACATGACAAGCTAATAACATGGTTGTCAGCATTAAAAGTTATAATTGCTGCTTTTTGCAGTGCAAATTTTGTTTGTGATGAAAATAACTACGTTTTCGTCAGTTATTTTATCTACGGATCGCTGCATTTCTTACATTCTTTCTGATTTGAGTGATCCATCTCTATCAAGCTAGCTAAATAGGCTATGTATATGTATGTATCTATATGCAGTTATTTTATGGGCCGTTGGCATGAATTGTATGAATTGAGCACTCTTGGAGCGAGTGTAAACCACGACGCTCCGACTTTAAAAAAAAAAAAAAAAAGACGCTCCGCTCACATACTCTGATACACATATATCCAATAGCATGCATTTATGATGTTTTTAGTTTGGGTGGATGTCATACTTCAAGGCCAAACTTGTAGAAGCTGTAGTTGAGCAGGTATTTGATGCAGTGAAGGAGACCCTTGTCCAGCGTGTCACGGGTGGCCTGGGGAAAGATGACTGGAATTGGGGGAGGTGAGCGCTGCTGTTGTCTGTAGTGATGAATCTGGTGCCGGTACACTGTTGCCTCAAACACCAGCAGCATCAGGACCAGCAGATGATCCTAATGGAACAGAGCACAGACCAAACTGTAACCGTCATTTAGAGATTGAGATTTCACTTACAAAAAAGTGACATTTTAGACTTGAGCATACTTATAAAAATGTACAGTGATTTTAAAAATAACACACTATAAAAATACTATAAAAAGTAAAAAATGTGGAGATATTTCCAGGTCAAATACAGGTGCATCTCAATAAATTAGAATGACGTGGAAAAGTTAATTTATTCCAGTAATTCAACTCAAATTGTGAAACTTGTGTATTAAATAAATTCAATGCACACAGACTGAAGTAGTTTAAGTCTTTGGTTCTTTTAATTGTGATGATTTTGGCTCACATTTAACAAAAACCCACCAATTCACTATCTCAAGTATTTTCGCTTTTGTTCGTGTGAAAGGTAAAACAGATTCTCACCTTGGTGTAACCAAGGATAGTAGCATCTTTCCTAACACCAAACCAGTTGGCTGGGTCCACAGGTGCTTTATACAGGGTGGAGTTCAGCACTTCATCCAGTTCTAGACTGGTTTCATTGACCATTGGCTACAATACAGAGAGAAAAGGAGTAAACAATGTGGCCTAAACCAGCAAGTTTCCAACATTAAGTTATTTTTCTGTCCTCACTGAAAGTGAAAGGTACCAACAAAATATCTTGTTGCTACATCATGTTGAATCTGTTTAGGACACTTCACAATTACTGAATGGAAAGAAACAAACTGGCAAGAAACACAACGAACATTTCAAGTCTGCTAGACATCTTTTAGGCTGCAAGGCACAATCCTGTCAGCAGAATAGACTAATTACTCAGAAGAGGAAAGTTTGGCCATTTATATGGCGATAAACACAAGCCTTTTTAACAGAAAGCCTGAGGAATAGCCGTAGCGTTTGTAAATCACCTGAGAATAACAATTCACTTTTTTCCCCAAACACAGATAAAACGCAAGACTAAACACATCAACTTCATCCACGCTTGAGGGTATTTGTTTAATTAGTGCTAAGTTTATGAGACCAGCAGGGTGCCGAGACGTAACTATCACACAAATCTTGAGCGAGACGGTGTTGCTGTTATTAATCTTAATACACGTGTGGGAGGAAGTGTGTACTTGCTGCATGAATGTGTTTAAAAGTACTTAGGTAAGTATAAACTAGATTTTTACATTTTATGAAGTAAATGGGAGTGCTTTCTCATGCAAAAGTCATAATAAAATGCTGTTCTGAGTAGTCCCATATGTAGTACACCTTCCCCAGCTCCACCTGTATAGATCTGCTATGGGTTATTTTATATGCTATTTGTGCAGCAGCAGTATGTCTTAAATACTCATGGCACCGTATCGCCATATGCATTGGCAGTAGCAAGTTCCTGTACTTGCTTGCAGCAGCAGCAATAATCTACAACTACAGCAATAACCAACAGCAGCAGCAATTCAGCAGCAGCGTAGCAGATCTATTCCGCCTAGACCAAATACATTAACATTGTCATATCCATCACCATGCTAAAATCTTCCGAAAGTTGTCATGATTGAAATATATATATGGATATAAAATGTCTGATTCTAGCTGAAAATTAACAACACACCTCCCCCCAAAAAATAAGTTATCAAAATGTTTTGAATCCTAATTTTACTTAAAAATAAATCAATAAATAAAATGGAAACAACAATTTAAAAAAAAATGTGCTAACGTTTTTAGTGTGGTAGTTCTTTTTTCTTTCAATCTGACAAAATAGTTGCTAATTCCTTTAATTAAAATTTTTTATAATTATATCTTTATTATACTGTAGCAGATGCAAAAATGTGATGTTAAATAGTTCAGGATTTGTTCAAATGACAGAAGCCATAGTAATAGTGATGCTTACCTTAGAAAACACTTTACAGCTAGCAATGCATAAAGTGTGTTTGTAAGCATGTGTGTTTAGGTGTCCTGTCTTACCACGGTGCAGTTGTTGGAGTACTCTGCAGTGTTGACGACACTGAGCTGGTACAGCATCTTGCAGACGATGATGACACAAACCCAGATGGTGGAGAGACAGGAAGCCATTGCTCTGAAACGGCCGTAAGGCATGGCAAAACTCCACAGCACCACCAGGACCAAGTTCATTGCAGATGGCTATGAATGAAGGGGGAAAACAAGAAAGTAAATACAAGGCAAGTGAAGTGTGAAACACTGACATATTATCACCTCATAACAAGATAGGCGGAAGCAGATGGCTGTTTCACTGGTGTGCTGAGAAACTACATAAATAACTGCAGGTTATGAAACCGACACAATGAAATGGCCTAAATATAAGAGTGTGCAGACCTCCAATAGCGCCACCCAGACGACAAAATAAGCCACAATTTTGACGATGTGCAGTTCTAATACTCTCCAAATGAAACTCTGGACATGGGTTAAGGTGTCAGAGAACTTCCTAGACAGAACCATTACTCTGTCCATCACCAGTCCCCACTTGCTGGGTATCACCTCTGAAAATAGAATGCACACTAAAATTAGGGGCGTATGTTGGCAACCATATGAGTATTGGCCAATATTAAGTTTAAAATTCCTTTTATTGAGTTACACCAGCACAGAAGCAGCATTTATTACTCTCACCGTCAACCTCTGATGGATCATCACCCTGCTCTGTAATGAGATCTTCCTCCTCAAATCTTACTTCCTCTGTGGACCGAACCAAATCTGGATTCTCTATACCTCTCTTCCTGTGGGGAGATCAACAACAGCACTGTCAGATATAATAATAAAAAAATAAAAAAAATAAAAATCACAAGTCGTATCTCTTCAATGTCTCAAATATTCTCAAATATTTCTCACAGAATGCAACTGGTTAAATGGAGAAATAAAAAAAATACCCTGGGAATCTGCATCAGATTTTTTTTTTTTTAACTGCAAAAGACACACATTTTTACATCAAAATTATACATTTAAAAATTATAGTCAGCATTATTAATATTTTAAATAATAGGGCTGGGCTACACAGTGTTCTTGTTACACATTACATGTACACTATAGCACTTTCAGTCTATTATGGATAGTTAAATGCAACTAACCCAACCTAAACACTGTTTAATGGTTTAAACCTCAAAATTAAAATTGACTTCAAAATGTTTAGATATTAATTTCTGAAATGTTTCTAAGGCCTTGTTCTGCTATTTTATTTTTGCATGTGGAATAGAAAGAATACAAGGGGAAATAATGCATCACTAACAATAATGCAACAAAAAATAATGCAACACTAACAATATACCAAATTTTACATTATAACATGCAATTACACATTTGACTTATTTAAAGGATGCATCTAAAATAAAAAATGTATAGTACACTCAAAAAGATTTCAGCCTATTTTTAAGATTTACACATCAATTACACAAACCTAAAATATATTAATTTAATAGTTAGGGTTAGCTAAAATGACTAAATAGAAAGGAATTTGCAATTTGGAAATAAAATATAAAATAATAATAATGCATTTTTAATAATATTAATAATAATAAAATAAATGAATTTATATGCATTTGTTGTATTAAAAATAAAAAATACAATCCCAAATAAAGCAATAAAACTTAAGTTGTGATATGTTTTGTTGATGTTGTTGCAGTTGAATAACAGGTACATTTGCAGATAATAGTGGATTTCTTTTTTTTCTTCTTTTTTTTAAAATCAGGTAATAATGGAGTTAATTAATATTACTCAGTGCTTAAATGTTTAATTACAATGTAACAAGGACACCTTAAAATAAAGTGTAATCTAGGGATGTCAGTCACTTAAAATATTTAATTATGATTAATCTAAATTTTAACACATTCAGTTTCTGTTTAAGGCAAGTGAATATTAATAATATGTGTAATTAACACGGTCAGAAATCGAGGACAACGCTCCAATAAATGTGCGTGTCTATATGAAAAAAGCACTGGACAAAAGTAGATTTATTTAAACATCTGACTTATAAAACTGAAAATGTGTGCTCCATTACAGTACTGCAGCTTTGATCAGTTTGCATTAGCTCTGAATGTTCTGTTTCTGTTTTTTAGGGCTGCCCCCTAATAGTCGACTAACCATTAGTCGACAAGAAGAGGCTTGGTCGACCAAAATTGTATTAGTCACAGTAAGTAGCAAATTTGCATGGCCGCTCAATCTAATGTTATCCTAGAGAAATGTGCACTATTGAAGTGTCTGTATGGAGTACTGAACAGTAGCGCACTCACTGCAGGACAGATGGAGGCGCCGGTGCGGTCACTTACTCTTAAAATACTCCATCATTTTTGGTCATACAGATAAAAGTAATACATCTTTCGAATCTATCGAAGACTCTACGTTTATTTGTGTGCACTCACAATAACAATGAAACGTTGTGCTTTTGTAAAATAATGAAAGCAAACAGGATGCGCTTTCTGCCGTCTCGGTCTCTGTGAACCTGAGCACATCACTTCGAAACTCAGACATGAAAAATATATCTATAGTGAGTGAAATGTCTACTTCTAAATGAAATAATTCAAATAGAAAACAAATATTCTCAGATTATGTAATCCGTATGAAACATGCATAAAGGCGCATCACTACTGTGGAGATGACGAGTCAGTGTTGCTGACTTCATCTCTTAAGTCGAAAACAAAGAAAAGCACTAGTTTATCAATAAATTATTTAAACGTTAATGTAGTCTACTTGCTGTTTTTCCCTGACACATTCATAATTATTATATCTGCCGGTGCGCTGTGGCAAGCTTGAGCACTTATTAGCCTATATAGGCAATTAAAGTCTCATTATTATGATTTATATGGTTTATTAATAAATGTGCGACTAATAGTCGACTAATGCTTAAAATGAACGACTACTAGTCGACCAGAAAAATCTTTAGTCGAGGGCAGCCCTACTGTTTTTTTGTTTTTTAGTTTTTAGACATGTCCCAAAAGATAATGAAACAGTTATGATGAAAATCTGAACAAATAATTCTAAATAGTATTCAGAATTTATAGTATTAAAAACTACATATGCTAACTTTAAAAATAATTAATGCCTTTTAAATTATTCTAAAATGCATTTTATTTTGGTAAATTAAAATTAGTCTAGAATATATTAATGCATTTGTTCAGAGGTAGTGCTCATGCCTGTGGATGGGCGTGACATTCTCCAGATCTGTGATCTTCATAAAGGGCTTATGGAAGTAGTGAAGCTGTAGAATACAGGCCAACAGGAAGAAGCCTGGGATCACAATACTGGTGAAGAGCTCAGATAGTTTAAACGTCTCCAGTCCCATGTCAGTCAACCTAAAGATGGAGAACCATATGCAATTATCACAAGTAATGTACCTAAAAATGAAAATTCCAACATCACTTACTCGCCCATATAACATTCCAAACCCATAAGACTTTCCACAGAACACAAAACAAGACACTATGCAGAATTTGTATGTGTGATTACAGTCTTTTTTTCCAGCTCTTCTGAAGCTTAAAGGTCCCACACTCATTTACTTTAATTGTGTTGAAAAGAGCAGCAGGAACATTTAAATAAACTTCTCCTTTTGTGTTCCACAAATACATAAATGAACATGGGTTTGGAATGACATCAAGGTCCTTCTTTTCATATATCCTCTGAAACACTTACAAATAGTAAACACTAAACCAGGGGACATACTGTTGTTCTGTGAATCCAGTGAAGTTTCCCCAATAGCCTGGAAAGTCCTCAAACTGAAAGGTGTAAATAGCAATGAGCACCACCATGGTGTAGGCCACCACCATCCACCAGAAGGCCTTCAGCAACCTCCTCCAGAGAGAATAGTACACCTAAGGACAGAGAGGTTCTTTTTGCTCAGTTTTATGACTCAATTTAGAGAAGAACATTATATCTCATACTGTATGTGGGCTGGTAAAAGTGTACCTGATACAGGCACAGGCAGAGCAGAAATAGCAGCATGTAGACGATCTTGTAGGCTACAAGCTTTCCTGCAAAGCTGACCATGATGAACATGCCTCCACACACGTAGATCCAGTACTTAGCGTACAGACTCATCACCAGCCCACCAAACACCTTCAAAATCGACTCATTTCGACCTGTGCTCTCTGAAAGAGAAAGAGAGAAAAAACACTCTTAAACTACACTATCTGGTGAAATGAGAAACCCAAAAATAAAATAAGACAAAGTAAGAAGAGTTTATCCACTCAAAACCACTTTTATGACTTTGTATATAAAACCCTGATTTTATAGTACTTAAGTGGTGCTTTTTTGTCATAACTGCTCAACTGTCTCAGTCTCTCTTTTTTTTTTAACTATCTACAAATTGTCTCTTTTTGATTTCTATACATTTTGATTTTCATACAGGTTTGGATTGATATAAGCATGAATAAATGAGGACAGAATTTTCATTTTTGTGTAAACTAGTCCATTAAGCAAATGCCTTTGAAATGAATTTTAATTCACTGAAAAAATAAATAAATTTAAAAAAAAAAAAAATGTTGTAGGATTTAAAATTTTCACCATGAATTAAACAAAATTTTTAAGTAGAAAGACTAAAAAGGTTTTTTTTTCATATACACTACCACATGCTGTATTACATATCGACTAATAAATTACAGAAAGTTTAGCAAACACTTATCATCAGGTAAACAGCAAAAGTCCACAGGCTTTTCAAAATGAAAACAAAAAGAAAATTAAAACTAAATTGGCTGTTGGTGGCAGTGTGTGTGTTTGCCAAGAAAACCAAGAAACAGGAAGAAGGGGAATTACGAATGTTTTAATAATGATTATTAATAGACAGTGATTAATGCTTTAATTTCCCGAACGTCCTGAATGAATCAGAAATCTTTTTTTTTTCTTATACGTCCTGGCTTTGTGGTTAGCACTCTTGTTCCAGATAAATGGCAGGGTTTTCATGAAGTAGATGTGAGTTTGACTCTGGTCCCCGGGCCCAACATCACTTCCTGTTCTCTCTAAATTTGATCTATCAAAAAAATGGCACAAAACCAAACAAAATGGTCTCTCCTGATGTTCTTGCTCACCTCCAGTGGTGACCTCCTGCAATGGTGCAGTTATTCTCTTCTTCCTGCTGAACATGTCCTTTACAGACTGTCTCAGCAAAAGCCAAAATGTCAACGTGAACAGCAGCTGAGAATAAAGAGAAAAAGAGTGAAGCAATATTTACACTTTGCTCACAGTGTATTATGAAACATCATGAGAATTATGACTGATCATGTGGTTTACGTGTGGTTGGATTGTGCAAAGATGTAGCAAGTGAGAACAAGTTTTCCCATCTACATTTCTGACTAACTTCAAGGTTTATTGCAGCCATCTATATCCCAACACATAACGCCATTTAGAATTGTAATTTTATACAGAAACGTTGTGCATTCTAAACTAAAAGCAGTGCGTCCCAACTCATGTAGGCACACCAACAATACATATTCTACCTTTTCTAACACATCCATTTCAGGACTTGAAGTCTCCACAAGCTGATGAGCTGAATCAGGTGTGTTTGAGTAAGAAGCTTTTGAAAATATGTACTGTTGGTGTGCCTCCAGGAACAGTGTTGGGAAACACTGCATTAAAGGAACATTTTTGGTTCAAAAGTCAAACTTGACAGCATTTGTGGCGTAATGTTGATTATACCCCAAAAAAACTACTTCTCCCTTGTTTTCTTAAATGAAAAAGACAAAAAAGAAAAAGTGTGAGGCACTTACAATGGAAAGGAATGGGGCCGGTTTATGGAGGATTTAAAATTGAAATGCAGAAATGTGAAGCTTATGATTTTATAATATCACAACAATTAATCTGTTAAAGGTTGCATTTAATTTGATTTTTAGTTTTTTTTTTGTTGTATACAAAGTTACTGTAAAATTGTATACAACTTTACACAGAAAAGACTAAGCAATTTTTTTAACTAATTATGTTGAACACATTTGTTTATGTCTTGTGGCTATCCTACTGAACCAGTGAGAATTGTATATAATTTTACATATTGGGCCCATTCACTTCCACTGTAAGTGTCTCACTGTAACCCTTCTTTAAAAATTATGATTAAATAAACAGTAATTAGTGATTTTGTTTCCTTAACTTTGAATGAATCTGAAGAAAATAGTATATGCTTAAAATAAATGTCATGGCTTTATGGCTGGCACATATGCCAGAGAATTAATGTGGTAGATGTGAGTTTGAGTCTGGTCTATGTCATCCATTTCTCTGTAATTTTACAGTCATTTTAGAGTTTTAGATATAATGTTGCTGTGGACATGATTGTATACAACTTGCATTGTTTATGTCTTGTGGCTATACTATTGAACCAGTGAGAACCTTATTGTTCACGTACAAGCCCCCTTTACTTCCACTGTAAGTTCCTCCTTTTTCTTTTTATTCAAAGAAAAGGAAGGCCAAGACAAAATTAATTTTTCTGGTAATCAACATTGCACTGTAAGTGCTTATTTGAGCAAACTTCTATTTAACCCAGAATGTTTTCTTTTTAAATAGAACCTTGATTATTATCCAACTAGTATTACACGATAATGGCAGTCATACAAAAAAAAAAATACATTTGCCAGAGCTTCACTGTCCTCACCATGGCTCCTAAACGCAAACAGGGGTACTGTGCTCGGTCCAATCCTAGCTGGCGCAGGCTCATGGTGCCAATGTGCTGGGGCAGTTCCGTTTCTAGGTCCATGGCCCACACATACTGCAGACAGCAAAGAGTGAAACCATACAACAGAATGAAGGGAGAGCAAAGAGTGGCAAAGCGTTGACGTGCCCGCAGCATCCAGATCACGCATGACCACAGCAGCAGCACAAACGTCAGCCAACTATGGTATGTTATACTCCACACCTGCAGGGGCAAGAACAAAAACACATTATTCAGGCGTAAATTATTGTTCGGACAATGAATCAGCACAAAGCTTTACATCTATAGATAGAAGAGAATATTTGTTTTACCATCATGGCTATGAGGGCACAAATGTAACTTTGTTGCAAGATCATTCGTCCCACCAGACGAAGAGGATTATCGGCTGTGGCCTCTCCACTGGGCCCTGCACAAACAAACATCACAAGCTCAGAAATATACATACAGATTAAAGGTGAACTGGCATCTTCTCTAAGTGTAAATGCACAATGTACATTGCCCTACCTATGTCATGTTGGCTTGAACCATTGGTCACAGGTTCTTTAGACATCTGTGATTCAGACAGAGGTGACTCTCCCGTGGTGAGAAGTGTTTGCTAAACAAAACAAACCAAAAAACACAATGGTTTCACGCATCCGACACTTTTTTCATAAGTACTTAATCTGATTTTTATTCCTTTAATTAATGAAATATTCATTCCACATCGTGTTATCAGGTACAAGGTGGTTAGGTGAGAATATTCAGCTGGAACACACATTCCGTTCTCTTAAAGGGATAGTCCAGCCAAGGCATTATAAACTTTAATGACTTTTTTTCCTCTGTGAAACATAATAGAAGATATTTTGAATAATGCTGGTAACCAAACGGTTTTGGTTCCCATTGTTTTCCACTGTATGGATAAACAATACATTGTATGGAACCAAAACTGTTTGGTTGCCAACATTGTTCAAAATATCTTCTATTATGTTCCACAGAAGTAAGAAATGATGACAGAATTTTCATTTTCATTTTAACATAGTCACACTCTGAAATCAATAGATTACTTTTTCTGTAATGAAGCAATGTATGTGACTACTCCTTATTTCTCAATCATTTTATTATAGCTACTGTTCATATAAAAATATACATCTATAGATAGAAGAGAATAGATCTGTACATCTATAGACCTGTATTCCAAATGTGCTCCATTTTAATGACATGTAGATTGATGTTAGAACATGTTTTGTATAATAAAAATACTAAAATATATAAAATATAAATAAAATACTAAATAAATAAAATATAAATAAAATACATAATACATATTAATACTGTTTTTTTTTTTATTATTGACTTTTTGTCATTGCAGCCCTATTTCACACATTACATAAAAGCTGTGGAATTAGTTTGACACAACTGAACCAATCTGCAAGCTTATGTTACATCTATGAAACAGCACTGGAAAGCATTTCAGTGTATTCCATTGTAAGCATTCCTGTACAGATATCTGCTAACATTTTTTATTTGAGATTTACATGCATTCTGAACACTAAAAGTTGCCACAGACATGGCTGTACATGCTATTTTAGGATTTTATTATTGTTATATTTTTGTACTCAGCACTGTTGATTAACATACTCCAATTTGACTGAGAATAAAAATCTGAGTAAATATACTTGTTTTTAAATACAAATTGGGGGCTCGTCCAGGATATTTTTTTGTTGTCAGGTAGTTTTAGTAAAAGTTGGTCAGTACAAGTTGTGTGTTTTGTGTTGTAGGTAGAATAGGTAGGAGGAATAATAGGCAGAGTTTGTGAAGAACCACAGTGATTCAAGTCTTACCTTAGTGTCATCTTCATTACTATGTCTACTTGCCTCCCAAAGCCTGAGCTCCACTTCCTCTCCAGCCTCACCCTGAACTGCTTTAACTGCTCCACCCTCATCGGTCTCCACAAACAGAAAGACATTACATCAGTTAATATATGAATCACCAACTAACCCAAACTCCATTACTGTACACAAACAATGAGTCAAATGTTATTCAGTGGCTTACAAGGGTACAAATGTAATGTGTGGATAACTGAGATTACTGTACGTGACATCTTGTTCAAGGAGCTTTTAAAAGGACAGTTCAGCCAAAAAAAAAGTTATTAAATTCAGTGAACAGATGAAGGACAGAATGTCCTTTGTTTAAGCTTGACATCAACTGGTTGGAAAACAATGTGAACAAATTGTAATTTTGGGGCGAATTATCCCTATAATTGAACAAATGAGTGTGTGAAAGCACCTTGTCTGTGTGGCCAAGACTGTAACTGTTGATTTTCAGCACAATAGTCACAGAGATGTACAAGAGGAAAAGAATGCCAGGATTGACGTACACCGGCCAGTCATGTTGCGTGTTGATGTTGATGTCAAAAGAAGAGCAGTTTCCAGGCTTTATTATCGCCTTCAGGCCAAACAGTCTGAAGCAAAAAAGAAGTGAGTGAAAAACATGCAACCTTTGACTTTCTGTGATATTCTGGTCACTACATATGGCCCAAATCCCTTTCAAGGAAAGTTAGTTTACTCGGTGGCCATATTTACAATGCCTACTAGCAAATATTTCAGGCATGCAAAACCAACTCTTATCTACTTGAATGGGGACATATCGGAATCTCAAATACTCCTTGTCAAACTCACATTTAAATAACATTTTAAATTAGCAACAAAATCCAAAATGAACTTTGCATAAATTTAGTCTCTTATAGTGTTAAAAAAAGCATATACACTACTGGTCAAAAGTTTGGGATCAGAAAGATTTTTAATGTTTTTTTACAGGAGTTTCTTATGCTCATCAAGGCTGCATTTATTTGATCAAAAATACAGGAAAAAATTTAATATTGTGAAATATTATTATGATGTAAAATAACGTTTTTCTATTTTAAGATACATTAAAATATAATTTATTCCTATGATGCAAAGCTGAATTTTCAGCATCATTACTCCAGTCTTATGTTTTTGAAAGTTACACTTATGCTCACCAAAGCTGCATTAATTTGATCAAAAATATTGTAAAAACTGTAATATTGTGAAATATGATCATTTAAATTAACTGTTGAAATGAGTTGAAAACCATGATACACTACAATTCACAAGTTTGGGGTAAGATTAAAAAAAAAAAAATCTACCAAATTATTTAAAAAAATGATTAAAAACATTACTCACCAAAAATGCATTAAATTGATCAAAAGTTACATACATTTATAATGTTAAATAAAATTTATATTTCAAAAAATAAGAAGCAAAACCTGTTTTCAACATTGATTATAATTAGAATCATTAACAATTGAGCACCAATAATAATTGATAATAACCGTGCAGCACACGGGCTTAGGTTTGTTCAAATTTATGTACAGTACAATAGTAATAGTGATGCTTGCCTTTGCACACACTAATAATCTTAATCTGACAGTAGTGTGCATGAGACATTTTGTATGTGACATGTTTAGGACAATGATGTATAGCAGAATTTTGCTTTATCTCACTGTGACAGCTGTGACAGTTATCTGCAGTGATTTGTGTGTCAGGAAAAATGCACAGAGCTGGCAACCTCACCAAGCCAGGTTTTACAGCCAGTAAGTGTGGGTGTCACTCTCCAGATATCTAAAGCTTAAGTCTCAGTGTCGCTTTTCAGTGGGTTATGCAAGGCTGGCAGGATACACCACCTTCACCTCGCCAGCCTGAGGCTCTATTTTAGTCCAGCAATAACTCTCGCATTTACATCACACCCTGCCTTAACACAAGCCTCATGTAATGAACATACATGAACACAGAACCTCAACAGGCTAGACTGCTCATTTAAAAATATGGACAAACCATAGTAGAGTAAGATGGGGTAAGAAACTTGAAATCCTATTTGGAATGCAAGTAATGATATTTGTATATGAACAGTAACTTTAAGATAACTTTAAGATCACTGAGAAATAAATATAAACATTAACTGAAATAAAACATTTAAAAAAACTGATAAATTATTATAACTATAATATTAAGTCAATGATACTAAAATAACACTTGACATATGTACCTTGGTGGCATGATGTTATTATTATTATTTTTTTTAAATGTAATACTTAATATAATTCATGGGGTTATTATTCAATAATTCCAATTTTTTTTATTTTTTAAAGAAATTTTTTATTTTGAATAAACGCAGTTATTTTAAACTTTTTATTCATCAAATAATCCTGAAATAAGTTTAAACTAGAAGTTAAAATTGAAGGTTTTGGGTCAGTACATTTTTTTTTCTTTGAAAGAAATTTTATATTTACTATATTTACTTATATTTTTACAAAAGATTTCTATTTTGAATAAATGCTGCTTGTTTAACATTTTTTCCTTGCTGACTAAGGCTACGTCCACACGAAGCCAGAGCTTTCCCTATCCGACGGGGCCTAAAAGTATACATTTTAAAAATATATATATATATTAATCCAAACTTTTGAATTGTAGTGTATTATGGTTGTCAACTGATTTCAACATCATAATAAGAAATAAGATTGATACAAATCATTCAATTTTAATTTATACTGTAATTATATTATGACGTGTTCAATTAAAATATGGTCAGTTTCATGGTCATCTCTTTTACTGGTATTATACTTTGTATGTCATTGGATGTTCAACAAAATTGTCAAAACACAATTTTAATATATTGATTTAACTCATTTAGTATTTTACATTGATGACACTTAAAAAATTATATAAATATAAGAATTATATATAATAATCCTTTATATGTTATGTAAAAGTTTACCCAGAGGGGCTTTTTGCAAAAGATACATTTTGCCTTTTGTGTTACGATAACTAAATTAGAAAGATGTGTTTATTTATTTTCTGTCAATAGCACATTGGCTGATGCATCATCATTCTGTACATGCTAAACTTATATCTAAAGATGTTACAATTTTTTTAAGTAAATATTCTTAACGGGGAATCTTCTCTCATCTTTCCATATTGTTTGAAGCACACTGGAGAGCAATGTAATTCCAATGTTATATGAATGTGGCCATTTTAGAGTATCATGGTACAAAGTCAAAGTACCAAGGTATAAAAAAAGTGAATGCCATCACTGTACCTTAATACCGCCACAGTACTACCAATAATGGTCTCTGTGATTTTCTAAGTAGAACATGTTCCTGGATCAACATTCTTTGGTTGGTCCTGGAACAAGATTACTGTCAAGAAAACAATGTCCTAACCTCAGCCCTAACCATTAACTTGATGGTTCCAAACCCAGCCTTATGCTTAATCCTAACTCAAACCATACTGTTTGATAGCGATGTTGCCCTAGAACCAACAAAAGATGTTGATCCAGGAAATGGTGCCAATGTTGTCCTACTTCGAAAAATCAAGGTAACCAGCCTTATTGGTTTACAGGAATGTTGTTCCAGGACAAATAAGGATGTTGAACTAGGTACACATACTACTTCAACAAATCAGAACAATTTTCCAATAACAGGACAGTGAAAATGATGCCACAATGTTACAGACGTACTGAACATACAGTACAGTGAATGTGAAGGGAATTGAGAGTAATGGACAACAATACCTGGCCCACAGGCCCACTGGGGAGAACATGTCTTGTGCAAATGAGCTCTGATACAGGTAAAGACACACCAGGTGTCCCCCTGTGAAGAAAGCCACCATCACGCACAATGCATTAAATCCCAGATGGCTGATGGGAAAGTGGCAAGCCCACCATGTGCACACTCCAATAAAGAGAAGGAAGTAGAAGGCAGAGAACGCAGAGGGTAAAGTGATTCCTGGAAAGAGAAAGACATGAATTCAAATCCAATTCACATACACTTTAAAATTAGACCCGAAATATTCTCTACACAAGTGCTTCTAGCTTCGAAAGCTTCACCTAACAAGGTGCTCTGAAATGCATCAGGACATAATTCAGTAACTAGTTCTTTTGCCACAAGAGATGCATTAGCAGAGTTTTCTAAACATAACTTGTGTCCCAAATGACATGCTATAAGGAAAGCCACAATAGTTAAGTGCATGAAGTGTTTAACATTTTACAATTCTTTTTGAAGTGCACTTTTCGTTGAAATGCTTTGTCTAAACACACTGCTCAGACTATGAAATGGCATGGAGTAATGAGTAAGCGGCTATGGGTAGTTTTCTCTTTTAGGTCAACTTGTGTAATGGCGAAGCAACAGTTGAGCAAATTCCAAATCATTACTTCTACTACCCAATGAAACATGTGTTGGTGATGGAAAAGTACATCCCTTTGAAAAAAGTATTGGACATTTTGACACATCATCAAATTGCATCTTGACACTTTGGAACCCTTTTGCCACAAGCCGTTTTTTTTTTTTTTTGTGCATGTAAGCTTACTGTACATCTAGCTAAATTTACTGCCTTACAATACAAGATTATCCATATCTTATTGTATGTTAAGATGCATATCATTCCTAAATCAAATATACTATTTAGAATAGATTTTATAGAAAACCTGTATATCAGGTTTAAGACTAATACAGGTTCTTGTTCACACAACTATTGTTGACATATGGACACAATTTATACCGTTGACTTTGACTCTTCCATTTAATCTCTCATCATTTATTGCTTGCAATGTCCAACTTTATGTTAAGTCCGTTGATTCTCTTACCAGCTAGTGCTAGTAGTGTGACAGCCAGGATGCGGCCCATGTGCCTGAGGAAGTGCTGTGCCGTGGCACGCAGGCGGGCAGCTAACTGTGCCGCCCTGCTGCTTGAGTAAGGACTCTCCTCATCTTCTGACTCACTACATGACAACATTCCCTCATCTTCTCCTTCTACATCATCATCATCATCTTCCGTTTCATCCTCCTAAAAAGAAGAGAACAGAGACATGAGAAAGACTTAATTGATGCTGGGGTGAAAAAATAGGCCACATAAGAATTACGTTTTTAATCCAAAATAATATACATGTATTTCTATTTCTAACTGTGTTCATTAATCTTTGAAAATGACCAAAGTTCTACTGAAAAGACATGTGATATTGGTGAGCTTGTGTCCCAAACTTTAAAACCAAGACTGAGAATGTTTGAAAGCACTGTAAAAACAAACGTACTGTCTGAGAGAAACTGAGAAATAGATACAGTAAGAGACAGAAACTGAGGTATGTGTTTAGAAAGTGATAAATGTGAACAAAACATCAAAGCTTTTGCAGGTGTTTACTTGTATGCACATGTGAGAGTGTGTTACTCTTGGCTCCTCAGGGTCATAGCAATCATATCTGTCCAGGCCTGCGGAGCCAGACAGGCATGTTTGCATCATGAAGTGTTTTTGGGCAAAAGCTGAAACACTTTAAACCAGTGACCTGGTGTACTCAAAGAGGTCTATTTTTTTATTTATATTTTTATATATATTTACTACACAGAGCCGTAGTTCACTGACAAGCTACACAAAATCGAGTTCAAAATCGGCAATGAATCGCCTGCGATTTTGAACGCGATTTTGTGTAGCTTGTCAGTGAACTACGGCTCTGTGTAGTAAATGCCGCTCCATCTGAACGCACGAGCTGGAGATTTACTACTAATCACAGGAGCGTCTTTACTGACGAGATGCGCATGAAAATCGCATTCGATTTTTTGCACAGCCCTATTCTGTATTTTTGATCAAATAAATGCAGCCTTGATGAGAATAAGAGACTTCTTTAAAAAACATTACGAGTCTTACTGATCCCAGACTTTTGACCGGTAGTGTATTTCAGCTTGGTCCACCACCAACTGGTTACTGGCTCTTTTATTTAGAAGGCAGGACTTCATCCGTCATATTACGTGTTATGCTTTCTCCCATTCTGAGTAATATGAGTGAACTGCCTTCGTATATACACTATAGGTCACTATAGGCTTGGAATAATTATGATTTTTTTATGTTTTTGAAAGTCTTATGCTCACCAAAGCTGCATTAATTTGATCAAAAATATTGTAAAAACTGTAATGAAATGACCAAAGTTCTACTGAAAAGACATGTGATATTGGTGAGCTTGTGTCCCAAACTTTAAAACCAAGACTGAGAATGTTTGAAAGCACTGTAAAAACAAACGTACTGTCTGAGAGAAACTGAGAAATAGATACAGTAAGAGACAGAAACTGAGGTATGTGTTTAGAAAGTGATAAATGTGAACAAAACATCAAAGCTTTTGCAGGTGTTTACTTGTATGCACATGTGAGAGTGTGTTACTCTTGGCTCCTCAGGGTCATAGCAATCATATCTGTCCAGGCCTGCGGAGCCAGACAGGCATGTTTGCATCATGAAGTGTTTTTGGGCAAAAGCTGAAACACTTTAAACCAGTGACCTGGTGTACTCAAAGAGGTCTATTTTTTTATTTATATTTTTATATATATTTACTACACAGAGCCGTAGTTCACTGACAAGCTACACAAAATCGAGTTCAAAATAGATGCGCATGAAAATCGCATTCGATTTTTTGCACAGCCCTACCTGAAGAGACAAAGGGTATTTTCAGAACTGAACACAAAAGAAGATTTTTTGAGGAATGTTGGTAACCAAACAGTTTCTGCTAGCCATTAAGTGCATTTTGCCCCGCATGCTATAGAAGTCAATGGCTACTGTCAATCGGCAACTGTTTGGTTACCAACAGTCTTCAAAATATCTTTTTTTTCCTTCAACAAAAGGAAGAAATTCATATATTGTAACAACTTGAGGGTGAGTAAATGATGGCAAAAATGTCATTTTTTGGTGAACTATCCCTTTAAATCCCTGTTTTGGAACAAAGCAGATGATCTACAGTACAAGTGTGAAAATGTTAATTGTTTAAAATGTCATTTGGTACAATGTTGCATTTTCGTTCTGGTTCGCTTTCACAAGACGACGTTCCAAAGCTTAACAAAATAGTATGCAAGTCACATGTAAGTAAAACTGTCCTCTCATTGGTCAAAGCACACTTGTTTAGGTTCTGGGATTCTGTTCATTGCGTCAATCATCAAGATGGATTTACAAGTTAGCTCCGTGGGCTTAATGTGGCTTTTTCTGTCATTACACACACTTTCAAAAACATATATATGACCCTGGACCACAAAACCAGTCATAAGGGTCAATTTTTCTGAACGAATAAGCTTTCCATTGATGTATGCTTTGTTAGGATAGGACAATATTTGGCCGAGATACTTCCAGGGTCACATATGAGTCTTCATGCTATATATATATATATATATTTTTTTTTTTCAGTCAAACCAAAAATTATTCAGACACCAGATATAATTTTTTTATATTTTTTTACTAGTGGGTGCAGGACACTATAGTTCATTTATGTACGTGAGGATAGCAAAATAAAGTAAACTGTGACATATTATACCCCAAAATTATTCATACAGTGGACTATTAGTAAAATTGATAAAAATTTGGGAACAAAAATTATTCAGACACTTTGACCTGACCATGTTTTGCTTAAGTGTTTTTCTTTAATTGCTAATGTGACCTTTTTACACCACATACTGAACAAAATTAAGCATTGCTTGGTAATTGGTTGACCTAAATTGGTATTATCTAATTGTGTACTTAAATTGAACAGCTGACAGCTATTCAACCGAATTCATTACATACCTTTCTATCAAAGTTATCTGACATTATCAAGATGAATTTGTTCTGACACAGTTTAAATCTTGTTCTTGTCATATTTTATTACCATTTTCTAAACTATAGCGAATAAACAGTGATAATGTGAGAAATGTTGAAGGTGTCTGAATAACTTTTGGTTTGACTGTATATCTCCAACTATGTGTGTGAATATGTACAGCATCTTTAATGCACCTGTTTTGGAGAAGGGCAATTAAAAGACATTTCCCATTATGAATTAGGATACTCCAGTGTTTGATTTTAATCAGATGAGGCCACCTCACTCAGGCAATCTCAGACCGATTATGCCACTCTAAGCGCAATCAAAGGGTTTATATATGCCCAAATTAACTGAACCACATTAACCAGTCAAACCTTGATCCCTTTGTTTGCATACCTTTAAGCTTAAAAAAAACAGCTTTCAAACTGGTGTTCTGGTACAATATCAGTTTCTCATTGCATCATTGAAAACTTTGGATTCTTTGCTGGCACATACACCTCTGCTAGAATAAACTTCTGAAATAAACTCTGAATCTTACAACAAAGCAAAGAAAGCTACTTATGTGTAAAACGAGTGTGTATTCAATCCATTACTGAACTGAAGGGATACAATATGGTGCAACTGCATCAGAAGACACAAGGCTCACTATCACTGTGAGAGCATCAAAAAGACACAAAGTAGAGCTTTAAGGTCTGTTCACTCCGAGGAACTATAGCTATAAACTTTTATTAAACATTCTAATTCTAAGAGAATAGTGGAGTCAACACCACAACTATAATGATAACACAAAGGAACGATTCTTTTTTAATAACAACATTGGCAGCCAATCAGAAACCACCAACTTTAAAGAACTCTATAGAATAATTAGCGTATAATAAGCATAACATTATTGTCCATTGGCGTGGATGCTAATATAGACATCATTACGGAGTACTGTAGTAATGAGTCATGAAACCCAGAAACAGGTTTAGGGTTAGGATGTCAAAGGTCTGGATGTTTTAACATTTTAGTCTCTGGCATAAAATGCATCAGTAGTACATTGATTGTGATTTTTAAAATCTTGTGTCTTGAAAAAGGTGTTTGCTAACTGGGACTATAGAGGTTGTCCGAGACATTAAATATCATCATAGTGAAAAGGAAGACTCATCAGCTCACTAGTTTGCTTTTACATCCTCGTGTTTAAAATTCCACTCTTGCAAACTATTTGAACTCAAACATTCTACTTGCAGAATTTAATGCTATGCTTACACTAGTGCATTTTCATTTTAAAATGCATAACTTTTGCTACAGTTACGCCTGTCATTTACACTACACTCGACCCTCGAAAATGGAGACTTTTGAAAACTTTTGTTTTAGACTGAAAACTCCAGGGTTGTGTTTCAGTGTAAACGGACCAAAACTGAGACTTTTGAAAACGATGGCATGGCTGCCCACATTCACTCTTGTGTATCCTTGACGACCATGTAAACAATAACATCATGCTCATTATGAATGGTCATGGGACATGCCTTTTCGTTTGTGTAGTGTTGACGGAGAACATTTCTGAAACGCAGTCGAACTATACCACTTGTGACAATTTTATTTGAAAAGTTGTGTCATATGATGTTGCTAAAAAGAACATTATTTTGTGTATTTGGTGTAATGAAATGTGTTAATATAAAAAACGTACTTACAGTCTTTGAGTCAGAACAGCCGGCATTGTAGTCTACTCTACCAGGATCAGGAAACGGTCCTCCATAAAATGTGCTGCACACATCTGAATATTTGGGTTGAAGTGTTCTGGAACAGTGTTGTAAATACAACTTAACCACTGATTTCTAGTCGTGTCCATTTTTGGAAGGCCAAACAAAGTAGTTTCGCTTTCACAACGAAACACAGCGTCACACACAGCGGCCTTGAGTGAGCGGCGCAGGCCGGCGGCTAGAGTGAGCAGAGGCCGGTGGGCTTGAGAACGGCGCAGCCGGCGGATTCGACGAAGGAGCGTCCGGAGGGCTTGCGGCAACCACATGTGATGACCCCGGGCTGGACTCCGCTTCGTCCACGGTGAAAGCCGATCCGGCGATCCACAGCGCAAAGTTGTTGTATTTCCTCAGCAACCAGCACGGATCAGCTCCAGGCATGACGAAGCAGATATCGTCCTCTTTTGGAAGGCCAAACAAAGTAGTTTCGCTTTCACAACGAATCACACAGCGCCTTCACGACATGGCGGCGGCAACAACAATACTACAGCGAGAATAAAAGTTAC